GGATTACTATTGTAATCAACTAATTAGCATTTTTTCTCCAAAATATAATTTGCTAATGTTAGTGATTAACTGATGTTTTAAGGGGTTAACTAATAAATGGCATGACTATCTTTGAGTTTCTATGAACTGTTATATTCTTTATTACATTGATATATTTAACAATTATGCTATTCTATTAATCTCATGCTAATAGTTATATTATTGCTTTAGACTTTTTAAACATTGCTGGGTAACAAATCTAAAAAGAAGTGTCTGTGTGCATGTGTGTGTGTGTGTGTGTGTGTGTGTGTGTGTGTGTATGCTAGAAATATAAATATAAAAAACTGAACTCTGGGATAAATATAAAAACAAATTGTTTTATTACTAAGCTTTTGTCAGTATTTCTAGCATGAGTATACCCGGGATTCGAGTTTTTAAGATTAGTATATACATATACTGTATGTATATGTATGTATATATATATATATATATATATATATATATATATATATATATATATATATCCAAGTTTAATACCATCACCAATCACCAAGCTTTCATCAGAGACTTCTGACATCGTCAGGGTTAATGCTGGTCTATGGGAGAGTACCTTTATAGGTGAGCCGTCCTTTGCACACGGCTCCTAGCTCTTGTCATAGGTAGAAGTGAGTAATGGCACACTCACAAACAGTGGAAGCAAGAAAAGAGGAGTCATCAATATGGAAGCTATAATTAGAACGCAGCCAAATCAGTTAGGACCTATGACAAGAGCTAAGAGCCGTGTGCAAAGGATGGCTTACCTATAAAGGCACTCTCCCATAGACCAGCATTAACCCTGACGATGTCAGAAGTCTCTGACGAAAGCTTGGTGATTGGTGATGGTATTAAACTTTTTCAGTTTATTAAATTCCTTGTGCTCACGTTTTTATTGATTATGAATTCACCCAGGAATCACGTTTTTATTTTCACTACTATTATTGATATATAATAGTATATACATACACAAACACACACACACACACACACACTTTTTTTCATGTTTGTTACCCAACAATATTTAAAAAGTCTATAGCAATAATATAACTATTAGCATGAGATTAATAGAATAGCATAAGTGTGTGTGTGTGTGTTTGTGTGTGTGTGTGTGTGTGTGTGTGTCTCAATCATAGCAGTGTTCCAATATCTAAGGGATTGTCACAAAGAAGAGAGGGGGTCAACCTATTCTCCAAAGCACCTGAAGGCAGAAGAAACAATGAAGGGAAACTAATCAAGGAGAAAACTAACATAGAACTAAGGAAAAAAAATTCCTGATAATTAGAATAATTAATCAGTGGAATGACTTGCCTCCAGAAGTTGTGGGTACACCAACACTGGAGGTTTGGTTTGAAATGTTACAGGGTTTCCTGACTGAGCAGGGGGTTGGACTTGAAGACCTCCAAGGTCCCTTCCAACTCTGTTATTCTGTTCTGTAATTGTTGAACTTATAAAAATAAGTGGAAACATCTCTATCATTGTCACTATTTATCAAAAATGTAAGTATGCTATGATTTTAAGAGGGTAGAACTTTGCTTCATAATTTCACATGTCTGTTGGCTTCTAAATTCTGAAGATAATTCAACGAATCATTAAGCATTGTTATAAATGCTGAAGATAATCCAAGCACAGAAGCAGAAACTTATACTATGCAATGCTTATCTAATGAGAGAAATGGGCACATGCATTCACCATATGGGAGAAGTGTGTTAAATGATTTCAGAACACTGGTGATTTTCCAGTGGTGTTAAATGCAGTTTGCTGGGTGGAAGAAAGATAATTTTCTTATATGCAAACTGAGCCTCATTTCAGAAAATGGTAAGATGTTTACCACAGCTTTAATTACAGCACTCATGAGCAGTTGATATAGAACAGTGTTTCCCAAACTTGACAATTTTAAGGCATGAGGACTTCAACTCCCAGAATTCCACAGCCAACAACGCTGGCTGTGGAATTCTGGGAGTTGAAGTCCACATGCCTTAAAATTGTCAAGTTTGAGAACACTGATATAGAATACTGCCTGGATTTGAATACTCTACATCAGTGGTGGAAAACCTATGGCACGGGTGCCAGAGGCGGCACTCAGAACCCTCTCTGTGGGCACGCGTGACGTCGCCCCAGTCCTAGGCTTTCAACTGGGTTTTATAAAACCTTTTTGCTTTAGGCCTCCGCCGCCGTGTGCAAAAAAAAAAAAAAGTTCAATCAATCAGTCAATTTCCACTTCTTGTGGGAAAAAAAAGATCTTGCAAAGTTGGAATTGATTGATTGAACTTTTTAGTCCCAGTCTGCCGTTACCACCACAGCCACACCCAGCCAATGGGCCACGCCCAGCCAATGGGCCATGCCCAGCCAATGGGCCATGCCCAGCCAATGGGCCACACCCAGCCAATGGCCACACCCACCCGGCATCTGACGATGCATAAATGGGTTTTAGGTTGCAGTTTGGGCACTTGGTCTCTAAAAGGTTCGCCATCACTGCTCTACATCATCAGCCTCCCTGCTGTCTGCAAAACCTTTCTCCCCTTCAGTTGCAAAAGCTGAGCAGGAACTACCAGGAATGGTAAAAAGCAAATACATTCTGATGTGAACTGGTCCTGTTTTTATCTTCAGGCAATAGATAAGATAGATGACTGTCTAGCTCCCAAGCTGGACTAGGCTATGAAGTTTCTCCCCACAGTGGCCCATTCTAGATTCTCTCATGGTCTATAACAGCATATGATAACATAAAGAAGCAAGGATAAAAACAAAGTAGAACCATTTCAACAAAACTAGGACTTCATCTTGTAAAATACTGCAGCTCTAATTCTTTAAATGTTTTTCTGTGTAGCAAATATTAGAGAAGAACTTACTTATAGTCTCAACTTGCCCAGTCTTACATAAAAATTGACATTCCACATATGGGATCTTTGAATGAATAGGGAAAAAACATAGAGGTACTTCGGGGAAATGTTCTTGAGCACTACTTTTTTTTGTATATATTTTATTAGTTTTTATAGGGTTTGTGCACTACTTTTAACTGCATGAGAACGTTGCCAGCAATAATGCATGTCTCCAGTTCTCAGAGAATCAGCAATAGTACATACGTAGACTGCTCTCCAATGTGCAACACCCACAGGAAAAGAAGATAACTTTAGCTAGTGATTAATTGTAACTCTATCTTTTATTTCTATTATTTCTGACTCAAGGCCATGCTTGGGACATAATGCAGGGATCTGGACCACTAAATTTAAAAACTTATTCTGGGCACATTCTTATGGTTTGAAGTCAGAGAAAGCATTTAATTTGTTTATTTCTTTACTGGGCTTCTATGTCAGTCTAGTTGGCCTCAACTGTACGCAAAGAAGTACAGAAAACTGTAACACTTTGTTACCAGTTGCCCAGATTTTTGCAACTCAGATATGATAGCTGTACTAAACTCCACATTTTCTCTATATTGGTGTTTGTTTGTTTACTTCATATGCTCCAGAAGTATTTCCATATTTTTTTATTGTGTTGTGTTTGCATATTTATCTACAAACTTGTGAAGGTTAGCTTATTTTATGAAAATCTTCACTGATTTTAGTTCTGAAGACAGCAAAGTAGAACCATACGTTGAAATGCAGACAGTATGAAGTAACGTGTCATTGAAATGAACTAGCAATAAAAGCATATAATTAAATCAGTTAATCAATTAAACTGATTGATTAATTATACATTAAAATATTGAAATTGCAGGTTAAGGTATAGCTGTCTACAAGCTTTTGCAGCATTAATGTGGACAATACTTATAAGTAGATAGGACCTAATTATAAGCAAGGAAATGTTTTGTGATAATACTTAATTTCTTGCTTTAATTGTGATATTTGAATTTTGCTCATCAGATTTAAAACCTTGGGTTTTTCCTTGTTTTATTTGAAAGCTCAAACAAGAATCACCAGAAGCCAGAGCTTTCTGAGTGAAGACACTAAAATCTTTGGTCATAACAGGATGAAAATTGAAAATCAGGGAATTAACATTGGGAATGAAGCTCAAGCAAATTAGCTTTAACATTATTGTGTAATTATGTCTTTTTATGATATAGACTTTTTGCAGAACAAAACCTACAGTACTTGGTTAAATACCACCACTAATATAGTGAAGATGAAAATATTTTTGGGAGAGGAAAGGGATAGGGTAACATCTTAAGAATCCTAAAAAAAAGTCTAGGCACTATAGAGTTTTGTACACATAATACTGGAAAAAAATAATTCTTATTGTTAGTTACACACACACCTGGACTATTTAAGCCAATTAGCACAATATATGATAATTTACACTGCAACTGGGCATTGTTTGAAGGAAGGTTTCACTAGCTCCCCATTAAATAGATTTGGTACCCGAAATGTTCAGATAAGCTGCTTGGTTGTTCAAATATCAAAAATTAATCTGACATAACTAATTTATAACTAATGGCAAATGAATTTGATAATTGTGGTACTAGGAGCAAACACTGAACTCTGCTAACAGATTTTTATTTATAAATGCATCATATTCTATCTATGGAAGATATTTTGCTTAAGCTCATTTAGGACATATTATAGTTTAGCAACAGGCATTTTGTTTTCAGTGCAATATTTTTTCAAACAGGCATTCTCTGTCCTGCAATCTTATTGATTTTAGTTCAGGTTTTTTTTTCTTATAATGAATTGAATTCTTGGTCTACACTAGTATTCTCCAACCTAGATTCAATTTTAACCATACCTCCCATTACTGCAATCAGTAGATTCATGGTACGTGAAGCTAGAAGGATTCAGTTTGGAAGGTTAATCTAGATTAATGCATATCATTGACTGCAAAATTACAGCTATCCACTAATACATCTGAAGCCATTCTTCTATATGTTGTCCTTCACTTTATTTTATTTCACTGTTCTAAGTATTTTGTCTCCTCAAGTAACTGTTTCCTGATTTTTTTTCAAGAGGCCAGCACCATTCATCAACCTTGTTTAAATCTTGTGCCTTTTTAAATAGGTGACATGCATGCAGTGGTTGCATGGAGACCATACAATGCTGGAAATGATTGAGAAAAAACGTTGCCTGTGCAAAGAAATCAAGGCACGACAGAAATCAGAGAAAGGACTTTGCAAACAAGACAGCATGCCTATCCTGCCAAGTTGGAAAAAAAGCACAGGAACTAAGAAATACAGTCCTCCTCCATATTCCAAGCAACAAACTGTTTTCTGGGATACTGCAATATGATACGTCCATGGGGATTATTTATCTTCCATACATTCCTGAAGAGTGCACTGTCAGAGTACCTTTCTAGAAAGGTAGTTGAAGAAAGCTTACTAAAATGGTACCTTCCTGTCCATCAGACCCCAGTGAATTGAATTTCCCACTGAAATGAAGGCATGCACCTTTTCTGAGGATTCTTTTGGACCAAGAAAAAGAGTAAGATGTAAATATTTTCCAAATCTCTTTAAAAGAAAACCCAAGTTAATACACTTTTTCAAATATAATGCAAATATGTATGAAACATTTTAACTGTGTACTCTTTTAACTTTTTTCTGTGTTACCTTTATGTTTTTATTTTCCCATCTGCCCAATTTGATATCTTTACAAAAGCATGTGGATGTACATTTTTGGTTTAACAGTAAAATGTTCAACTCAAACTGGTGCTAGGGCTGAAGTCATTAAATAAAGATTCACGTGGATTCGTTAGATGCATTTTCTATAAAAAGTCTTAGAATCTAAGTGCAAATAATGCAGGTAAAACAGTATTTGCTTGGATGCTCAATGTGGTTATTCTGCACATTTTTTTTAAAAAAAGTGTGTTCGTTGATATACAAAATGTCAATTACAGATTTCATAAATATTAATTTATGTAGAAATATTGGCAAAATCATTTACACCAGCTTCCCTCATATGGCTGGAGAGTTGATTGTGGCATTTGATGGATATCCTCCAAAAACCTTTGTAAACAGATGCTGCACAAGGAACATTCCCACCAAACACTGTTCAGCTGCATGAATTAGCAAACTGATTTTAATTGTTGATTCAGCCCACATTGTCAGTTTGATCCAATTCAGTGTTTCAAATGATTTCCAAAACAATAAAGTCAATTTTAAATTTATTTGAAGAGATAATTTAAAATGCATCTAGATCAAATCTCTAAAACAAATATTTGCACAACCCTTGTGCTCACTTTCCTTAAAGAGAACTAGTGGTAGGGAGAAGATGCCTGGAAGTGAGTCACCTCACCCTTCCCATACAGATTATCAGTTAGCAGGCAATTCTGCTTGCTAGTTTAGCTTTGCAGTGCATAAAGTATGCAAGAATGCTGCATATTGAACAATGGATTTGGATGTGAGACTCTTGAAAGCATTGATCGTTACTTACATTGATCATTATTTAGAATAAAGATAAATGCAAGGGGCATCTGCACATAGAAATGGGCTTCTTGACATAGATTACATTACTGGATCAGGGTAAATATATTTAGCAATGCTAATAAGTTAGAGTGATTAAACATGTACATGTCTTGTACATGTACTACCTTTACAGAAAATTTTTCTTCTTCTATTGAAATGATTTGCGGAGACCAGGGTTCACTGTGACTAAATATTGTACATCACATGAGTTATTTGTTTTCTGTCCATTTTTAGCAAATTAAAATGATTCATTTGTTTTGGGTTGTTGAAGATAAAGGTAACAAAAGTCTGTTCACAATGTTCACGTTCCTTTTGTAAGATACTACATTCCTTGTCTTGGTAGAATGAGTTAGTGTAAAGTCTCACTAAAGTCAATATGAAAGGTTGACTTCATCTTGGGAAATCTGACCCAGGGGTTGGGTCTGTAGAGCACATTTCTCTCAAGTCACACAATGTCATATTCCTGGTTGATCCTGTAATTGGATCATAGTCCTCTGTGACATCACACCCATCTTACTAGACTATAATGTAATGACCAAAGAATTATGGCCTCTTGGTTTTAACAGGAGAAAGAGATGGTTTATATTCTGGATAAGAGGGTGAGATTTGTGCATTAAAGTATCTTCCAGAAGGCACTGTGTAGGATAAGATTAAAAAAGAATCCATATTGCTGTAGAGTTGATGTGATCACATATATTTTATATATTTAAATTTTTATCTATACTTCTAAAAGTTTGGCAGCATGAAAAGGGTCCTCTTTTAACAATCATTTTAAGAATATTATATTCTCTGAAAAGAAAAAAATGTGTCATTGGAATTTATTATCATATTGGCTTTTTAGTTTAAAATGATATTGACAGCATGCCACAAGTGCAACTGCTGAACAATAAGACCAAAAAGAAAAAAAAATCCATAAAAATTTTACTAGGTTATTTTGTACTATATTGCTGAAATCAATGATTACTTTATCAATAGTAGTTTCTTTCCAGATTGAAATAAAAATAAAGTTTTTAAATATTTTATAACTAATGAATATTTTAATGTCCAAATTGATGCTTTCGGTATCAGATATTAAAAGTGAAGGATTTATAAGTGTGTATAGTAGGTTGTTTAAGCAAGATTATTTATGTTTTATCAATATCATTAACACAGGGACAGATGTCTAAATTCATATTGCCATATTGTGCATATGCAACAACTGAAATGGGTATATAGTTCAACTGTGCGCTCATGACCCATGTCAGAAAACTGTTACAAGCATATTGAAGGGATTTTTCATTTCCCAAAAAGAAAATGTTATTTAATTTTAAAAAATGCTCATATTTCCCTAACAAAGAAAATGTTGAAATAGCTGTTTGGAAAATGCATCCATTCTTCTGAAGCACATGAGATTTTGTTATGTGGAATGTTTTTACAGAATTGTCTGAGGACTTGTTCCCCAAAGGTATAATACACAACATGGTGGCCCTGCAGAAGCTGCTGAATCCTAACTCCCAACAGGTCTGCTCACATGCCTGATACTAAGGACTACTGGGAGATACAAATTGTGTACCTACTGTGTGTCCTAAGAAGTCTGGCCTGGTTCTACATTTGCAATTACTCAGAAATCCATTGAGCACAGAGCAACCAGATGTAAGCCGAATATCATGTCTTCTTAGTATCTTCTGACAAGGAGTTGTTGAGCCTTAGAGAAAAAGCTTCAACTCTTCCCTCCTTTCCAGCTAACCCCTTGCTCCCCAATGGCTTCCTTTTACATGTTTCCTGCTTGTCTCCAACCCTTCTTTATATACCCATTTTGCTCACTGATCCAGAGGAGAAGGAAAGATAGGTTTATATATTTTCAATCATTGCCACATATGTTGATCCCAACTTGTTTCAGAGAATCCTGTCAAGCACCCTCTCCATCCTTTTCTTAATCTTAGAGTATTATCAACCCACTCTCCTCACCCATGGAGCCTACAATGACATTGGAGCCTCAAATGACTCTCTCTGAGAGTCTCTTCCCTAGTCTACAACATGAGTACTGAGATGCATATTTTTCCTCAGTGATGGAACACAAGCAGGTAAAAAGAGTACTGGAAAATGTGTTGTGCTTGCTTTGCAGAGAATTTATCAGGAATGCTAACAATGACCTGGTTGCAGAAGTGCCAGCAGCAGCTTTTGATAACTGCTGTCTTGCCATAAGAACTCCATCAAACAAAAATGGAAGAACTGACATTGTGGTTTTGGTTTATAAGACCAAGAAATGCATGGACATCATTAAGCAGCATGAACAGGTTTCATGGATTGTAACATAGATTTGTCTTGTGTCACTTCTTCACATAGTTCTCCAATTTCTCTTTTGCATAATATCTGTTCCTAAGTTTGGTTCCACATTCTGATTTAATGTTTTTCAGATCATATTTTACTGGCACACCAACTCTCTATACTATTTTTAAGTCTGACCCTTATATGTCACACTAATAATTCATTGTTTGTTGTTGTGCACTGTTCTTGAAGTGCACTTAGAAGTGCCTGGGCTGACTAGATAGTGCACTTCATTATGTACACTATTTTATTCCAGAGTTATTCATCCAAAATATCTCTGTGTTGAGTTTCCATTCATGGTGCTTGAAGTAGGTGGGAATGATAAAAAAAAAAATCTCCCTTGCCTTATTTTGTTGAGCCAGTTGAAAACTTCATGTCATTTTTCATTTTCTTTTACATTGTCATTGCAATTGACTACTAGCAATGTACAGCCTTTCTTGTTATTGCAACTAGCATCTCATGCAATCTTCCATAAAATTTCTCAGCATCTTCCTCCAATTCATCTGTAGTAAGTGCATATATTAATGTAACATTGATGTTTATGAAATAGCCACTAATTTAATATGTCTTTTAATACTTATATGTCTTTTTACATATTACTGTCATTCCAGACACAGCCTGAATAGTTTATTGCATATCATTTGTACTTAAGTGGCATTCTCCATTCTACCTAAGCTTTCAGCTGGTACACTTCATCTTCATTTTGACAATGTCTAGTTTTCTTTTGTTCCTGATTCTCATATCCAGTATTCTGATTGCAAGTAAAATGAGGAACTCCACTTTCAATACTGACACCATCAGTACACAAGAGTTCCTTGCAGTTCTGATGAGACATCATTCTGATATATTTCTTGAAGTTCTACTCTACACTCTTCCCAGAACAAATGGAACATCTGATCCTCTCCTTCAAATCTGGTGAACTCATCTAAATGTTACAGCAACTTTCATAAACTTTCGTTAGTTACATAATATCATCTTATTCTAGTCTTAATTGTGCAATTATTTTTCAAAATTTGAAAAATAACACCTGTAGCATATCTACCTGACCCTTTCCTTTCTGTGAATCACTCATAGCTCATTCCTTCTCCTTTCAATTATTTTGACCCTATCAGGAGTATTTTTAATCTAATTAGCATCAGTCATACAGTTTGCAGAGATGGAGATACTTATTATTCCATGTGTAGGAATTAGAAAATTAATACTTTCGTTTCCACTGGAAATCACCCATGTACTTCAGGAAAATTAAAAATAAAATCAGAGCTGATTTCTTCCCAAGACTTGGTGTCCCAACCCTTTCAAGCTGACTTATTTTTATAATCTACATCCATATCAAAAAATTCAAGTTTAACATAATATATATTTTAATCCATAGCTGGATAAATTATATTTGAATTACTTGATCAGGTCTGAACCACTAGACATCTTATGAGTGAATAATAACTCTTTGTTATCATTCTGAAGTGAGATTTCTACTCATTTTCATATCTTAGGTGGCTCATCTTTTGGGGCATATGTCTGTGTATGTGTTATTCAATTACATGGAACAAGAAATCATTTTAAAAGGTAAATGAATGCCTCTTCTGCATGAAAGTGTGAATTCTCCCTCCCCCCCCCCCAGGCATGTAAACAGCCCTGATTTCCCAAGTTATAGTTTTGGCAGAAAGGCAGAAGTAGTTTTATCCACTTGGACTTCATAGAAAGATTTGCTGAATGATGAAATAGTTTCTGAAAGCTTTCATATATTTGTCAGTACATAAAAAGCTCAAATAATTCACCTCTTTTGAAAACACAGACAAGTTTAAAAGGATGCTTCTCCTGGAGAGGTGATGTGGATCTCCCTAACCAAATGCTATTTGAACATTTTCTATGCTCTCCCATTTTGGTGCATGGAGGTTGAACAGTATTAGCAATGTGAACACATTAAAATGGCTGTATTGATATATGCAATCCCTATGACATCTAAGTCATGCATAAATATCCACACGCTTACACTAATTGTATATATGAAAAATATTTGGTATGCACTTAACTTTGCTTTACATTTCTAAAATTAAGCATTCTAGTGTAGCAATTTGTGTCAAGTGCACTGTGATTTCAAGAAAGCACAGTAAGGTCACAGGTCTTGTTAATTCTTGCACTAAAAATGTGTTTACGTATATTAGCAAATGTATGTTTATTGCTCTTCTTTTCTTAATTTTTAACTGATGGTATTAAATAATGTTTGTTTTGTTTTTCTTTTTTATAGGGGCCAATGCCCCAACCTTTATAAGTGACAGGGTTTTTAAATAAAATGAAACCATAACATGTCCATTCCACTGTAATATGTTTACCAATACTTTAAAACTGAATGTCATCTTATTTTTCATGTTTCATTAGAAATGTCAGGTATATACCTGAAATGTGTATGAAGTAGATAGATAATAACTGTAATCATATATTAACCATTTCTATATACACAGTATGAATACATATAATTTCTTTTCATTTTTGTACTTGATTATTTTTAAGTAAGATGTAATTAAATGTACTTTGATACTTTTTAAGTAATAAGATGTTGTTTGAAAACCAGTTTTGCTTTCTTTTAGTGCATTGATAATATTTTATAATAACTTATTGTTTATTTATTGTGCACCAGTGTAATTATAATAAAAGCAATAGTTTAAATATTCAGTCCTTGATCTCTGATTAATGATGTCAACACTCAACACCTAAAACATGTTAGGATGTAATCTTTAATGTATTTTTGTAAAGGAAGGCCATTTATAATTTACCCATTAGGCTTGATACAGAATATATGTCAAGCCACATCTAATGGGACAAGAGCAAGGTGGCAAGAATTATAGATTTCATTAAGGTAGAGTCAGAATGGTTATCTGCAGAGCTTATAAAGGCCTTCAAAGTTTCACAGATAATTATAGCTGCCCTACCACCACCATGGTTTTGGTTGTCACCAAACCTAAAAGTTGTTGTTGTTGTTGTTGTTAATTGCGAAGTCGTGTCCGACCCATCGCGACCCCATGGACAACATTCCTCCAGGTCTTCCTGTCCTCTACCATCTTCTGGAGTCCATTCAAATTCACACCTACTGCTTCAGTGACTCCATCCATCCATCTCATTCTCTGTCGTCCCCTTCTTCTATTGCCCTCAATCTTTCCCAGCATTAGGTTCTTCTCCAGTGAATCCTTCCTTCTCATTAGGTGGCCAAAGTACTTGAGTTTCAACTTAGATGGGCACAATTCTAAGAGAGGTAACCCCCCCTTCTTGCATTTCTAAACACAGCTAGATCTTAGGGATACAAAACAGGCTTGTCACTAAACAACATGGCCTTTACAAGCAGCAGCCAGAGCCCAGGATCCAACAGCCAGATAGATGGTAACACGGATCAGATAGCAGGTCCACATACAAACAGTGGATCCCTGTGTTCCTGCTATACCCACCTCTGCTTGTCACCATTATGATGATCTGCCTGCCCTCCCAGAGAATCTTGGAAAGTGCAAGGATTTCCACTTTCATTATTACTATATGCATTAAGGCAGACAGGATTTGAACATTTTAAACCATTTTCCCCAGGTATATTGCCATCCAGATGAAGTTGCTGTTAAAAAGAGAAGCTGCCAATGGTCTTGATTTATGTTTAATATGGCTTCTCCCAACTTCCCCACAATGTCTCTTGGTGTTCCATCATGGAACTCTATTTAAGCTCCCATCATGGAACTCTATTTAAGCTCCCTGCAAAGTGGTTATGTGGCATATGTTTTTAAATGCTAGAAAGTCCATATTCATTATCTTTCTTAGTACTGCATAATGTATAGTTGTTTATATAACATTCCAGAAAGTTTTTAAAAGAAAACAGTGCAGAGAATAGACTTTAATAGACAAAGATTCCCAAACAGAACTCTTTTAAAAATACATCTTTGACACAAAAACTCTCATTTTTGGATATATATTTGAAAATGAGCCATTTCTTCAGGCAAAGTTTTGGATAAATAACAGTAGACACAAGCACATTGCATTTTTGGGTTTTTGGCTTAGATCTAGCTCTCATCATTTGGTACCATTGAAATTTAAAATGGGTTTCTTCCTATTTTAAAGATCCCAGAGGATCTTTTTCCTGTTTAAACAACATACTTATATAACCATATTCATTTCTCCATTCCCAAAGAAACAACAAGATCAAGCAATACCTATGTGAAGCTTGTTATAAATAAAGGTTGCTTTATCTTTGAAGGTGGTCCTAATCCTATTTGTCTAGGATTTGAATAAAATTCTAAGCTTTACATCATCAAAAGGTTAGTAGTTTTGTTGTGATCATCATTTCAATTGTTGTTGCTTGGCTGGTTCACTATTTATCAACAGTTGAGAAAACTAAACAAGGATAAAGAAAGAGACCAAAGAAAGAAGAGCAAAATATATTGCTATTCTCACTATTTTAATGATTTTTTTAAATATTATTACTACTTATATGCAACAAATACTTTTTGTTGCATACAAGAATTTTCTGCTTCTCCTGTGGACATTCTTCTTATGAATCATATTTCTTTCACTGCTAAATTAATCCATCTTCCCCCTTTTTAAGGAAAGGACTTAGAACGTTGATGTAATTTTAATTTTGGGAAAGAGTCTTTTGTAAGAGGAAATAATAAGTAATAGTACAAATAATATGCCCCTTAGTTCTGGAAAAGAGCTTTACTTTAAATATAGAATATTACATAAAGGATTGATATATCTTTGCTTAGTCTGTGATCTCTCACTCAAATTTCTAGAGGTAAATCTTACCTTTAATGAAAATTCTGTAACAACCAGTCCTACATAGTTTAATAATAACTGGGAAATAACAGAGGATTTGTCTCCAGTGTCTTCTTTCAGCATTATAATTATCACTTCTCATCTTTTATTATATTATGGATTGCCATAATTCATCTTTCTGGTGCAATATTTTTAAAAGTTCCCTCAAATGGATTTGCTTGAAAATAACTTTTTGACTTTTGCTTTAGTTAGTTATGGAAAAGAAACAAGGGAATTATACAAATGATTACAAATTCAAGCTTTTAATCTTAAAATAATACAATAATTACCATATACATTTTAAACAGTGCCCTGAACTTTACCAGACTGGACCAGATACTGGACAGTCACTTGTCTAGAGATTGGGCAGTCACTTATCTGAAATGGTATAGGTTCTCCTATAGGTCCCTTTCCAGCTCTATTCTATTCTAATTCTAATTAACCTTTATGGGATTCCATTATATGATCTTGCCTCCCCCTGAATACAAGGCCCTTTCCAAAATGATCAATGACAAATTTATTAAGCATTTTTTTTAGAATCTGATAGAGGGCATATTTCCAGAAATGCTTAATCAACACAATAATCAAAGCTTCCAATAGTTTTTATTACTCCAGTTTCACACAGACATAAAATAAAAATGAACAATTCACATGTAAAAACAAAAGCAAAAAAAATATATAAAAGGAAACATATATTTTAAAAAAACATAATTACTACATCACAAGTTCACCTGATTTTGTAAGTCTTTTAGAAGAAACTGAGCTTTCAATGTTCACCAAGCCTTTTCCAAAGGCAGGAATAATGTAATATCTACCAATTATAGTATATAATTTTCTCCAAAATTGCTAAATCACACATCCAATCTCTCTGAAATTATAGTATTTTTCCATCTCTGAAAAATTATTCTTAAGACTCTAAAGTTTGGAGTATAATTTAATATTTTTGGTGATAAACTTCTTCCAACAAAGTAGTTCTTCATAGTAATATTAAAAATATCTGCCATAACAGTCCTATGCTGTGCTATGTTCTCAAAATACTAAAAATGCCTGCCAAAAATATTAGGGATTTCAGGGTAAAGGCATGCTAAAAGGTTTTGTTAATGTTTAATTTTTATAAGTAACCACTAATTCTAATTATGATTGTCTTTAGGGTTCAACATATTAATAATGTTTTTTTTTTATTTTTTCAAAGGACTTGAATAATTCAACATATTGACATTTGTGTTTCTGAATGTTTCCTGATGTGTAACTTTGTTTTATAAACTCCACATCTATTTGTATTCTTATGTATAGATTATGAATGAACTAATGGTTAATACTATAAATTTCTACATGATTGGAATAAACATCCCCACGGGAACCTGGTGTTAATAGTACCTTATGCTAAATTTTCCAAGAGAAGCAATGTTCCATGTACTAAGCATAAAATATTAGACTGTGTCAAATTAAATGGCACATATGTCTAATGATTTTAGCTTTTTTTTTTTGGACTTCACTTATGTTTGATGTATTTGTTGTTTCTTTTTATTTAAGACTGTCACAAAAAGGCTAAAATCTGCTTTTGATCCTGAAACAATTTATAGAATGCCCTGGTATGCTTTTGTTATTTTCCATATAACTCTTTAAGACTTTATGGCGAGAGCAAAGTTACTTCACAGGATTATAACTGAGGTATTCGCATTTATGAACAGATCTTTAAAACTCCTGTTTTATTTTTACGAAACCGGAAAACATTTTTTTTTCAGTTTCTTTTTATGAACCTTTTCCAGGCATGGAGAACTCAACTATCACCAAAAAGCA